TGTGCCATGTCCATAGAGACATAATGCTCTCAGGAACATGTGATATTAAATGTGGCTTTCAGAGTGTTGGTGAACAAACAACATTACATGTATTATTTTCTTTCCATTCTTTGTGTTCTTTATCTCTTTGTTTGGTTTTTCCACAAGACTTTGGGTCATCCGTTGTCCTTTTGAGTAATGCTCTGAATAATGTGCAAAGACATGCGTATTTATAAGAGTGTCATTTATGGATCTGGATGATGCAACAAAGATATGAAATATACACTTGCTGTAGTATATTATGGGTATTTATTTTCTTTGCATATGGACACAAGGTCATCAGTTGTATCTGCAGTATGCTAAAATGTACATGAACATTGAATTGATATTAGTTTGTCTGATGCTCAGTGGTTCATCTAGAATCTGACAATTATTTTAGTTTCATGGCTTGTCTGCTCCTAGAGGTCCATTTCTCAAAGTGACAGCAAGATTAGAGGGAATATTTGATTTGCATTTAACACTCAACACAATGGCTGTCATTCCTTTTCCTCCTTTTGGTCCCATGCACTGATATAAGCTAGTATTTCATATTTCATTTATTGCCTATGCTGGGATATTCTCTTTGATACATTACACACTGCAAATCTCTTTGTACACATCCTTTTGTTCTCAAACGAAACACGGATAAATAATTATTACTTCGAGACACATTATTTCGCTAAGAAACCTTTTTACCCTCAGGCACACAATGAAAGACACTGTTGATCGTTATGGGTAAGAGAATAGCATTGCTAATTAAGAGTAAAAGCTCATTAGTCAGCGGAGAGAGGAGGATGTGAGGTTTATCGGTTCCTGCTCAGACTTTGAGGGTGGTTTCAGGGATGACTTGAAGTCAAGCCTGAAAGAACCAGAATTACAAACAGTGGGATCCTACTGTAGAAATTGTAATACAAACCTGTAATCAACTCTCACCTAAGATACACACTTTTTCAAGCAGTCAGACAACCCTCCATCCACCCTGCGGACACAAATTTAGAGCAGGAAATATCTCAGAGAATGTATCTTCATTTGCATGCTTCCAGCAGAGACAGCCAAAACTCATTGCAATTGCACAGGTTGTAAATGAAAGAACTGAACAGATGCCCTGAGTCCAAAGTGCACACTTGAGTCTTTCCTCTGAACATGGTTGACTCAAATGCCTCTGAGAACTCAAGTTTGAGAGATCCTAGATCTCATCATCTCAACCTTTCAAAAGTACTTTGATAACACTTCACTTTGAGCTTGGTTTTACTTTAGGCTAGTTCTTGCTCTTAGTTGTAATTTAAGGTTACATGCCCAGAGTTGTACAGTAGATGACAGTGGAGCATTAATGGAATATCTTTTTTTATTAAAGGAATATTCAGGGTTCAATACTAGCTTCAGAAGTTTAGTTAGTCAACAGCATGTGTGGCATAATGTTGATTTTTACAAAAAAAAAAGGTTAAAAGGTCACTTCCATTCTATGTGAATGCATTTAACGCAAGTGCATAAATGCAGATTTTTATTTATTTAGATTTATATTATATGTCAGTTTAATGCACCTGCAGAATTTCATGAAGTACCTCATCGTTAGATACATTTTCCAACAAATAGTGAAAGATGTTTGTTTGGTTAGTTCTGAACACCTGTAGTCATTTCATTTTAAAGAATCCCATTTCAGTGTCCTTGCAGAGATGTTAATCTTCACTGTAGACAACAAAGGAAAGGAAATAGCCTTTTCAATACCTAAAAGAAGAATTTAGCTATTTCTGGTTAAATTGATATTCTTTGTATTATCTGTTTGGTTTTAGTCAGTTATTTATTTATAATCTGTCCACAATCACATTATGAGCATAATCTAAAATGGCCGAGTCGCAATGCTGCTTAATGAATATAACTCAATGAGCTTGAGCAAAATGGTATACAGTACAGTTTAAAACAGACTGGCTTTTTGTCATTCAGACAGCTATTTGTCTAGTCTGCTTCTCTCTTATTACCAGGCATGGCTATAGTTTTAAAATTATTCGTCCCTCTAGGTGAATACACAGGACCTTGTCATAGTCACCATTTACATGACAAATTACAATATGAGTGTTTGTATTGCTATTGCAGACCCTGCAGGTTATGATACAAATACTCTTGCAACATCTAGTTCAAATGAAAAATTGCATGTCATGTAGCAAGGCTAAGATGATCGTGCAAAACTGTATACATAATTTTCTCCCCATAAAGAGCTTAAAACACCTCTTTATGAGTTCTATGGTGGTATAACACAAATTTTAAACCAATATAACTCTGAATAATTGTTTTCTCCTTGTTTCCCAGAAAACTAGCTAATGTTTTGATCTTCTCTCCCACCAGACCTTTGCTTAATTTGGCTCATGCAGATACTTATTTCATTTCTTAATTATCCTCATTTATGTGTTTACATATTTCTCTGTTCATCCCACACATTTTATACATACATTTTCTATTAGTCCACCACGTCACACTTGTCAAGTCAAGTCAAGTCAGTTATATATTGGTGAAAGCTCTTTTCCCAGTACGTATTGTTCCAGATACTTTTTATAGAAAGTTGTGGTTTAATCAACATAAAGTTGTGTAGGAACCAACAGAATTGTCACTTTTATGTCATTTCAGACCAGCCTGAGGATATTTCAAGCCCATTTGGTGTTCAATTATATTTAAGTGGCACCATTGGTGCTTTTCATGCGTCCGCCGTTGATGATAAAAAATACATTTCTCTCACAGGCCAGATGTTTTATTTGTGGTCTAAAAGTACACCTCGGCTCCTCTTTCAGGGTGGATCGGTTCAACAGCATTTGATGAAGTGTGTTGTTTTTGTAACCACAGATATTGTCTGATGATGCCCCTGTAAACAGGGAATGACACATACCTGATATTATTCCTGCAGATAATAACCAAAATCCTGTTACTGCTCTGGGTGGGGGAGATAATGTGATTATAGCAGCAGATTGCTTTGAAATGAACTGTGCTCTCAATGAATACATGTTTACACGTTTGGCGTATGAAGATAGGATGCAGGTACAGTTCTGAGCTGTTGACTCTGGGTTGCAGGTTTTATCTCAAAGGACTGGAGAGTTACAGTGATCACAACCTTGCTCTCATTGGCATTCTGCTCTTGAATAAAGTACTTAACTACAAGTTGCTGACTAAAATTAGAGTATTTTGCTTTTTTATAAAGAGCTAAGCTGAAATAACTCAACAGTATGTTCAGAAGAGAACACGAGCCAGAAGCACCATCTATCTCAAAGCTTCTCTCTGCCCTTGTGACTTACATTACACGTCTTTTAATCGTCTCTTTTTTTCACATTGCCACCTGCCAAGCAGAGCTACCCCCCTCCCAAAAAAAAAGTTGAAAAAGAACTGGAACACATATAACAATGCTTTGCTCTCGGGAGAAATGTAAACAGTGATTTTACACAAAGGCAAAGCGCTTGTTACTCAAGGCAGAAAAATAGCAAGTCAAAAGAATTGCTGATGGAAACGTTGTGATTGCGGCATTTGAAAAGGCCCTTTTTGTGGTGCACTGTGGCGCTGAAGTGCAGCACATTGTAGGATCCCTACTGAGTGGTTACTGTGTTCCACCGAGACTTCCTCATCAATATGCATGGAGAAGTACGGATGTCTGCGTTGAAGAATTAGATGTCATGCAGCAAAAGCCTTGCTTTTAAATCTGCTGTAATCACAGCAGAAAGCATTGTAGCCCAGATCGGGGCTGTATTCACACCGTTATGGATGTCCTTATCAGCGGGCTACATACATTATAGTTCTGTGTGAGATGAGGGTGTAGATACATCATCCAAGAAATGCCTCCCATAGGAATAAATGCCAGAAGTGGACAACTTATGATTGCGATTTGAAACGTTAAGCTTAAAGATATTTAATGAACTGATATGGTGACCAACAGCTATGTAATTTTTATCCCACTGCAATAAATGTACTGAAGTGTAGGCATACTGTAGGCTTCTGTTTTGATATGCACATCTTTGTAATTAGAGGTTGTACTAAGCAATGATGCACAAGTCCGTGTGGTGCATTTATTTCGCAAGGTCTGTATTTTAATCTGTAGTTGCATCTCCTTTCACACTGTTCCAAAAAAGTATGAACATTTTTTGAAAGTCGCCCACACATATGGTCACATGGCACACATGACTTGACAGACTGTCATCAGAATACAGTAATGAGACTCTATTCCAACATCTGGTTTGGTCACGGCCGTGAAGAATGATTGACAGCACTTGGTGGAAATATGGAAATAATAACAGGGTTAGAACAAGGGGCGGGACTGCGGGAGACGCTGAGAACTAACTACTGAAAGAGATGTTGAAAATGTGCTCATGACATCTGTTTACCATGGGACTGAATTACAGTGCTTGACTTTAAACCGTATCTGGCGCGATTGCCTTTTTATACAGTTTGCACTTGAAGCGAAAATAAAAGCTTGTTAAAAGAGTTAGAAATAATTTGGATTAATATAAGCAGTTTTAGGGAGAACTTCTCCATTTCATGTACCAGCGCAGTTGCACAGCGGATGCTAAAATTGGAAGCATGTGCACAGGAGGTTCTTATTATTTCACTTACATTCTTTTATTGTTAATTTGGTGATACTTTGTTCCTCTGAAGTACTAAAACACTCATTACCATGCAGAGAACATTTTTATGTGAATACATTACACTTCTCACTTACAGACAATTAGTAGATTATTCCCACAAAGAATCATCGTACTTTTCTCCCCTCTCTATGTTGACAAGATCTCTCCGGAGTCCTAAATAGTTTTCATGGCCTCAAGGAAACAGAATTTCCTGTTAATTGCCTGTCTTTGTATCTGCGTGTGTGTGCACTTTTCACTTAAAGTAACAGTTGTTTTGGTGAGTGTGTCTGAGTGGAGGTGAAGGTGACTGAGTGTTTACTAATGCATCTTTGTTCTTTCTGTGTGAATCTGTGTGCTGCGTGTGTTTAGGCGAGCGTTTGTGGGGCCGAAGCCATGCTGATCTTCAGTTCCGGGTGGTGGAGTGTGGTCTTGCACCAGAGCCTGTGCTGTTGAAGCCTTGTGCTGCTCCCCCATGGCTCTATGGGAGCTGCTGTTGCTGACTTTCAGCCTCCGCTGCTGGCTGACAAGCTCTGCCAGTTTAGCCGAAGAAGGCCCTGCAGGCCCCCTGGACTGGCTTCTTTCTGACAAGGGCCCATTTCACCACTCACAAGAGTACACTGAATTCGTGGAGAGGAACCGTCAGGGATTTTCCACGAGATACAAGATCTACAGGTTAGTTGTAATTGAACTGAGGCTTGCATCATTTTCATGCAAGGCAGGCTTGCAGGTATATTTTGCCATGTAATATAACTGAAGTTCTGTGTATTGTTTGTTGCTATATAACTGATCAGAATTATGAAATATTTATTTGTATCAACTGAGTTTATAAATAATAAATGAACGGGCTTGCAGTAAAATATTTTGTCAATACATACTGTTCAGAAGTCTGGGGTCAGTAAGGTTTTGTCAAAAAAAGAGAGAAAGAAAGAAAGAAAGAAAGAAAGAAAGAAAGGATGATTTAATTAATCAAAAGTGATTTACATTGTTACTAAAATGTATATTTCAAATAAACACTCCTCTTATAAATATTAATTAAGCAGCACAAATTTATATTTGTGAATTTATATGTTGATAATTTATATTTGAAATTTGTTATATTTGAAAATATAGTTATTTTCAACATTGCTAAAAAAAATATATATATATATATATATATATTTTTTTTTTTTTTTGAGCACCAAATTAGCATGTTAGAATGATTCCTAAAGGATCATTGAAGTGGTGTAATGGCTGCTGAAAATTCCGCTTAGAATAAAATGTATTAAAATAGGAAACAATTATTTCATTGTAATCATATTTAAAAAAATATAACAGTTTTACTGTATTTTTGACTAAATGCAGCCTGGGTGAGCATAAAAGGCTTATTCCAACAACTTTTTAAAACTCTTACCTGTTCCAAACTTTTGAAAGGTAGTGTATTCTTAAGGCCTTCTTTTTGCTGACGTGAACTTGGCAGAAGTAACATAATACACTTTTTTTTGTTGAATTGCAGTTAGTAGAATTTAGCCTGTTAGAAGGTGAGCAGAAATTCCAGCTCTTAAATTTCTGGTGATTTCTCATACATCATTTCCATCATTGCAGGGACAGTTATCGAATATTCATCTGTTCTCAGAGGCCACAGTTGACATCTTCTAATTTGTAGGAGCTACTTCATGGCTGCTCTGATTGGCCCTTCATCAAAACATTGGAGATTTTTTTTTTAGTCTGTTGGCTAAACCTGGTGAATCAGAGGCTCAACGCTCCCTCTGCAAGATTAATAGTCTTATCATGTGGCCAACTGATTAGTGGGCTCTTAATTCTTATTACTCGGCATTATCACCTGTTCCCTCGAGATGGTTACTGTCGGCAGCAAGGCTGTGTTAGGGGAAGATTACAACCACTCCATGATTAACTAAGTGTGTTGTATCAAAATACTAATTGAAAAGGAGCAGCTTTCACATGGATGCCAGAGTTTAGGTAAAACATTTAAATATAGCAATTTCTCATTAAATAGACAGACTGATTAAGCTCCTAAATGTTTAAGTTTCAGTCATTTATTATTATATTATATTATATTATAATGTATTATATTATTGTAACAACTTACATGGGGCCATATGTAATGCATTTAAATTTAGATTTTCTGATATACTTAGTACTATACTTAGGCCTAGCCTAAAAATTATTTTCCAGTTCAGTCCCATTCACTTCTATCTCAGTATGCACTGGGCCTTGAATAATTGAACAGTTGCATTGTTTGACAGTTTGCCACTTTTATTTACACAGTTGTTGTTGATATTGTTGTCAGCTGTCACGTTTAGTTATTTGTTGTCTTGTGATGTCGAGATTAGTTTGTTCATTTGCTAAAAAAGATTGCTTTGTTGATAATTACTCTAGTCGTGTTTTATGTACCAAGAGTTTTATGAGGGCTTCAATGTTCATTTAATCTTGTCTTCTGATTTAGAAGAAAAAGCATTTTGCTCTGAGTGTCTTACAGAATAAATTAGATTAACATTATTGAGTGATTTAAAACGCTGTAAAGAAAAGGAAAAGTATGCATTGAACCCAGGGCCATTTCTAGCCATTTTGACGCCCTAGGCGGACACCCTGTATAGTTCTATGTAACAATTCCTAGTTGCTAAGAAATTGTCATCACACATAAATTAATTTTCTTACATTTGGATTTGGATATAGGCCTATGTTTAGATATTATCAATGGCTACTTTTTGTCTTTATCTGTTTTTGTTCAATTGTTTTGTTGTTGTTGTGTCAGTTATTGCATTATTATTTCAGTCTAACCTATAAAACCCTTTGTTACCCCAAACTACATATAAATGCCTGATCAGTGGCATAAAAGTAATCAGAATGCAGCTACTTGTTCCTTTGTTACTCATTGACGCGTGAACTTCCCCTTTAAATAACGTGATTATCTGCCCTCTCCAAAGCACTGTTGGAAGCGAATTAATTGATTCAGCATTTCGACACTTCCGTAAGGATGCGATAATTCGACAAAGCGGTTTAATAAAAGATGTATTGATCTTGTGATTTAGCGAATTTTACTACACCAATATTTTTAAATTGGCTGTTAAAATTTTAAATGGGAATATTTCAGGACACACTGATCCTTTAACAATGCATTGAAGTAAAAACGCACACCTTTTGGATCAATTTCACAACATGATTTCTTGACTGCCACAAAAACTGCCTAAACAAAATACTGATTTTGTGAATTTTTTCTGTACAAATATTTTAAATTGGCTTAGCTTTATTGCATGGCAAAAAAAAGAAGCCTTACCTTGCCAAAGCACTGACGAGAACCCATTGATCTAATGGTGTTGCTGAGCGCTCCAAATGCAAACTTTGCATGCAACAATCAGAGGCAGCAATTGACAGCGCTCTGTTCCAATGGCATACAGGCTTCGTCAGAATGAAAGTACTCTAGCCCAATGATGTTGGGGATCCACTGGGGGCGGCAATCATATTTCAGCATGGCCATGCCACTCTTTATCACAACCCTGCTAAAATGTAGCGCCAGTACGTGCACTCACATTGGCGTCCCCTCCTGCTGGTGGCACCCTAGGCGACCGCCTAGCTTGCCTATGCCTAGAAACGGTACTGATCGAACCTTTAAAATCTTAATAATGCTTAATCTCAATATGATTTATATAAAAAAGGAAAAAGTTACAACATTTCCAGTACAACAAATACATTTACTAAACATTTCATATTATTAGTAATATTTCAGTATGAATATTAACTGGACTAAGCAACTTCCGTTTACTTGATTATACATACATCATTTTTATAACAATTGGGTTAAAATGTGAGTATCAAATATGATACATTAGGCTCGTGTTATTGCCTCCTTATAAATTGCTTGTTGTATTTCTCAATTGTAAGTTGATTTGGTTAAAATTGTCTAAATAAATGTGAACATATTAAGACATTATTGGGAGAAATAGAGTGACAACTGATATACATATGCATTTTATATAAACTGTCCCAGATTATTGCACCAAATTGCATTCTCTCTCTCTCTCTCTCTCTCTCTCTCTCTCTCTCTCGATTTGGGCTTCTTAATAAAATTGAGTTTTTTTTCCTCCTTGGGTATGAGCTCCATTATTATACTATTGTATATGAGCGATAATAGCCTGATATACTTATATATATAACCAAATATACTTAAAAGTAAACAAACACAATACAAATACAGATATTTTATAAATTTTTTAATGAAGGTATGTATAGTTGTCTTGGATGTGTACAGATAATGCATGGAAAGGATGATAAATTCATCTTGGTGTCTCATATTGTGTTTGTGACATTCTTATATCAGATCGCATCTTTTAATGCTAATGCAGATTCTCTGTAATATGTTGCACAGCCTGGAGCCTTTTACTTAAGCAATCTCTTTTTCAGTGTATTTCCTTGCCGATAACAATGCATGCATGTAGCAGACCTAGAGAGATTAAAAGTGGCAATATTATATTGGGGATAGCTTTTTCTCCTTCAAGCTCAGCTTTGTTACATTGCTCAATTCAAATAATCCGCAATGACAGGTAGAAGATGAATTACAAGAAGTGGTTCTCCTACATAGAGTGGTGTGTAACACTGTCGTCCAGGTAATGAAAGTGCACCGTCTCATCCCTCCTTCAATTCTCCACGTTCTTCTTGATTGAATTTGAACAAATTTTAATGATCTCTTTGTTGGAAATAGTTCTTTTTTATTTGGGAGATTTCACTTTGTAGAATATTGGAAAAATGCCATATCATAACATTCAAAGACGGGGTCCAAATATACCACCTGCTTTACTGAAACCACTGCCACGGGATAGTTTCCAGAGAGGCTGATGTGCGCACAGACTAAGGCAATTCTCTCTCACACAATCTTAATAATGTAAGTGGGAAAATCAGTTTGAAATTGCTTGTAAAAGGTCATTTCATAAAATGCTATTTCTTTTCATGATGACAGCTGCCCTTATTTAAAATTTTCTCTTTTTAGGGCCACTTCCTTCTGTATGATATTCAAATCATCTTTTTAATACGTATCTTAAAGGCAGAGATAAAAGCTTGTGACATAAGCCTCAAGGACTTTTTGTTCTGCAACAAAAAGCTGAGAAACAAAGCACAGAAAGCAGAATCGGTTTCAGTGCTGTTGTGAAGACTGATGATGACTACGGTCGTAATGAGCATTTCATATAGCACAGCAGAAGTCCCATAGAGTGCTTCCTAGAGAAGCCTTTAAACTGCTCTCACACAAAGCCTCACCTGATAAGACAATCCAAGCTTATCGTGCTCAGCTGTGACGGGAAAGAGAATGACAGGGAGGATTTTCCGTCTTTACTGTCCTCTTTGTGGGGAACCTTTGAACTCCTGAAGGCTAGCTCATCACAGCTCCCAAAGAACTGTCCAGTCTAAAAAGTGGCTTTTCATGGTGCCATGTGAAATTGAGATAGATCATCTAAATTCAAGCATGCAGACATCCTCCCAATTGTTGGTATAGCACATGCCAAATGCAATATTACCGTTATTTACAGCAGCTGAGGGCGTAGCTTATGAAATTACCCAAAATTATATTCTGACATAAATCCAACAACAGCTTCGACCATACATTAATAATGTGTGTTTTGGTGACATAATTTCGACATAATTCTATCACTTTTGCCCCTTATGAATTGCAAAACAGCAGATGGAATTAAGGGCGTTTGCTGGAATGAATCAATCAAACATCTGGGTCAGGAGGCCTCTGTCATTACTCCTGATTTAATGTGATAGATCCCCTTTCAGAAGGCCACCCCAGCTCCATCCATCACCTGTGCATGAGGTTACTCACTATTTCTCGGCTAACTGAGAGGACAGACTCTTATAGAAGAGAGGCGGCGCCGCGATTGGAGGGTGTTTTGAGATGTATTGAGTGTGAGATTGTGCCAATGCCTTTTGTAGAGGCATGTGCCTATTTTAGTGTATGCATAATTGCATAACGCAGAGCTTAAAATAAGTACCGGGGGTTGAAAGAATTATAGAGAGAAAAGGCTTGAATACTTAATTGCCTGTAACTGCATTAATTAAATTTGTTATTTTTGTATGCATTGTGAGTTGCTGCTGGTGAGACAAAGAGGAGCATTAGTCTTGACCTTCACTTAAGAAACAAAATAGTTTCTGTCAGGGCTAATTAAAAACAAGTTTTATAATTGCTTCATCAGCTACTCATCCTGCAATAAGTTGGCACAAATGCTTTTAGTATTTTGCTCTAAGGAAGATGTCAACTACCCAGTTCCAGTTTATTAGCCCACATGCTATTTTTCATGTCTACTTTAAAAAGTGACTCGGTGCTCTAATGTATGTTTTTGCATTAAAGATACCCAGCTAAAGGCATGTTTCTTTTCATTGTAAGCAGTTAGGATTTCATCAATCAGTTTAAATAAAACTATGTTAAGAACCAATTTAGCATCTGAAATGGTGTTGTTGGTGCACAGAACAAGCTAAAATGTTCTAAAAACAAGCCAAGCTTGCTGTATTTTTTCATACTTTCCATTAAAAGACCTTTTAATCATATAAACAGTTTAATAGACTTTGAACAAATATGACTTAATTGGATTTATACACTCAAAACAAAGTTACAAAGTTGTCACTGGTACAGAGATACAAAAGCTTACACATTATTTACTCCTAAATGGTATATATTAGTACCTCCCTTACAAAAATTAGCCATGGTTTATTATAGTAAAAGTGTAGTAACCATGTTTTTAGGCTTATTTATTACCATTTGTATGACCACAGTTTTACTACAAATACCATGGTCAAACTATGGTAAGTGTAGCAAAACCATGGTTAATTTGGGGTTACCTTGGTTTAACTATAGTAACCTTTATTTGTGATATTATATTATGATATAAATTAATATATTAGTACATTAAGGGTGTGTTTACACTTGACAGTTTTGGTTTGATTAAAACAAACTCTTTTACAATTGCTTTGTTAGTGAAGTTCATTCGAACACTGCCATCCAAACTTTGGTGCAGAACAAACAATTGGGTAGACACTGCTGTTTCATCATAGCAGATACGATTTCTGGCACTGTTTTGACACCTTTACACATTTTATATGCTCTTTGTGAGTTATCAGCTGGTAAAAATACCACCTTATGCATATACATATAACGAGCACATTTAAGCATCAGTATCTGATGTTTGGTAAGTTGGAAAAAATATATGTCATAAAAGCTGTCCAATCAGGATTTGACAGTATTCTTATATCTTTTGTTTTGTATTGTTAGGTTCAGTGTTAAAAATGACAGTGTGAACAAAAAGCGAACCGGGACTAAATGTATCATTTTCATTTTTTGGTTCAGACCAAAATAACCAAGAAAACTAATCTAGAGGTGTAAACACACCCTAAAAATACATATTAGTATCTAAAATGTACATATTATTAGGGAACCGGCCTAGTGAGTTTTGTACCTTTTTTTCTGAAAGTGCATTTAGACTTTCATACACTATGTTAGCAGTTAATTTGCTTCGCATTGACTCAGTATCATTCCTACAGATTTAGAAACATTTAGTTTTTGTTCATATGTGTGATATATTGTCAACTATGTGTCATGTGGTGCTATGGAGGAAGCCTGGGAGCGGAAAAAATTGCAAAAATGCATGAGTCACCAAAGCCTGGAGCATTGTTTCTGTTTTTTTGCCTGGAAGGATTTCAGAGCTTTGTGGTGGTATTTTTTTTCATTTAGCTTTTCTTTCTCCTCCCCACTTTTATGAAAGGTATTGGTTGTCACCACAGGGCAGAATTCTATGAGTCTTTCTGTCAGGGCAGATTTCTGTCACGAAGTGTTTATTGAGCATAGCACCTGTCAGCTGCACATTCGGAGGCGGCGCCCTACGCATGGTATTCATCCCCCAAATGAAACATGCTCTGAGAACCTGAGGCTAGAGATGCAGCTTGGCAGGAGCGCTGGTTGCCCTGCAGGCCTCCTTCTATCATGTCCAAAACAGTCGAGAAATGTTAATGAAAACAGATCATTAGGGACAGGCCTGTTTACTGTCTCTGTTTTTCTCATGCAGGGAATTTGGCCGGTGGAAAGTGAATAACTTGGCTGTAGAGCGACGGGATTTCCTGAACTCCCCTTTGCCTCTCACCCCGGAGTTTATAAGAAACATTCGACTCCTGGGACGCAGACCCACTGCCCAGCTAATTACTGACAACCTGATCAAGAAATATGGGACCCATTTTCTACTCTCAGCTACACTAGGAGGTAGAAAAACATATTCCTGTGAAACATCCTCATGGTGGTTTTGCACAAAGGTCATAATTCCTACTGTGAGCGAACTTGAAAACCAACTAGTGTTTTTCATGCAAAATAAACACAGATAGATCTCATGCATATTTACATCTCAATTTCCACTCTATCAAGCCAAGCAAAATCACTTGTGACATGCTTTGCCGCATAATGTATTACTTCTTCCACTGTGTGGTTGGAAGGGGGAGGCAGGTGTAAACAGATGGCATCATGTCCAGAATGGGTTACCTTTCAGAAATCCGCACACATTATTTCACTCAGTTCTCAAACTCAGAGCAGTCTGTGCTTACAAGTTACTTCACGTAATGTAAAAGTATTGACTGTACACAACTGATGTGGCCTTCGCTGCTCTGGAAAACAAGCAATATTGTGTAAGGTTAGAGCATGAAAATGGAGATGCAAGTCTTGGCTTTGCAGCAGATCTGCTTGGAATACAATCTGCCAGAGAGAATTACAGAGCATATACAGTATAATAATTAACAGTAAAGTCACACTGATCAGCTTTATCTTATAGGGCTGGATACGGATTGACAATTGAATCTCTTGGTTCGATTCCAATCTATTCGATTCCAATTTTTTAAATTATATTTTATTTTGATTCTGCTAACACTATCTGCCAATGCTGTAAATTATGAAGGTCAGTGTTTTAGGCTAAACCGGTAACTTGTCTTTTTGAACTATTCATTAAAATAACCAGCTGATTAAAGTAATTTGTTTTGAGAATCGAGCTACACTGGACAAACTGTATGTTTATTATTCACAAAGAGTCATTTGTTCGTTCAAACTTTTCATTACATTCAGTACAGACTGCAAACTCACATTTCTATCTCAGATAAAATACTGTATAATTTCTTATGCTGAAGACTTCATAGGAGTCTCCATTCCTGAAAACCGGTTCTGGAAACACTGATACTTGATATATGACATTACACAGCCACCGAAAACAGTTAGGGTAAAAGATTGATCTTGGGATTTTAAGAATCAACATAATGAACTAATAAAGGATTGTTCAAATGAAGATTGTGATTAATCAGAAAATCAGTATTTGGTCACACTATTCTCACTATTACCAAAACATTAACTATGACTTTTGCCTCGATAAACTCCTAATTGGCTGCTTATTAATAGTTTTTTTTAAGGTAGTTGTTAAGTTTAGGTATTGGGTAGGATTAGGGATGTAGAATATGGTCATGCAGAATATGTGCTTTATAAGTACTAATAAACAGCCAATCTGTTAATAATAGACAAATAAGCAAATAGTTAATAGTGAGAATTGGTCCCTATACTAAAGTGTTACCCAGTATTTTTACTTGCCTCTGTAGTAGTTATCAATCAGCTTATGTAAAACTACAGCTTGCATCAGAATCCTTAATACATTCTGCAGGAGCATAGAATAGATAAATTCTTACTGTAAAACATTTCTTTATCAATAAGCTTGCTCTGTTCTGTTTCTGCTAGGAGAGGAGGCTCTGACTATATTTGTCGACAAGAGGAAGTTGAGTAAGAAAGCAGAGGCGAGCGACTACACCAGTAACAGCACGGCTGTGACTCTGGAGGCCCTGCACCAGCTGGCTGCCTCCTATTTCATAGACAGGGAGAGTACTCTGCGACAACTGCATCACATCCAGATTGCTTCCACTGCCATCAAGGTATGTCATTAGTCAAGTCAGAGCCCACAGCTTCCTTCTTTCAACTCCTCAAGTATAATCATGTTCAGTATAACAAAGTGCATTTTTTTCACTATCCCTGTTGCCATGATCCTGCTATGAAAAGTGTCATATGCTGAGTGGGTATCTAGAGATATCCATTCACTGCTGAATATGACAAGTTCTGCATTGTGAGAAAAGAAAAGTAGCTCTGGTTGTACATGTTGTTCACGAATGATATTTATGAATGGCCTATGACGCTGAGTAATTAAAATATGGGATTGTTTATATATACTGTATAAAAGCTTAATTTGGGGAAGTATCAAAAATCAGGCAGCAACAAAAACACGGTGTATCTTCGAAACCTATCTGGATGTTTTGCATCTTGACAGCCTAATGCCTTTTGTACAGCCCTATAAATGCAAAATGCAGTAAGTATGGCAACACTAAAGCTTAGGATGGCCTCTGTTTATATATATATATGGCGAACATGATTTCACCAAGTGCAACATGTTCCTGGATCAACATCCATGTAGGGGTAGGGATAGGGTTAGGTCTATATTTTTTGAAAAATAATGTTGATCCAGGAACATGTCTTACTTGGCAAACTGTTTGATTTCAGTCATTCTGTTTTGACAAAATATCTAGTTAGTGCATTTTGCCTATGTATAGCTGTATTTTTGCCTAATTTTCCTGTATTATGATACAGAAACAATGATGGAATTCTGTATCTGCAATAACCAGTTCTAGATGGAAGAAAAATATAGAAAAAAATGTGGGAACTACTAATGAAAAAAAAAGAAGGAAAAAATTGTCTCCTATTCCAGGAAAGGGCTCATCAAAAAGTAAACACAGAACAAAATAACTTTAATAATTAGCCCATTTTTAATATATTTTTCTTTATAATGTCTTAATATCACGTTTTCGATATGCCATGCCTTGCTTTCTTAAAATGTATCTTTAATCCTCACAGATCAACACAAACTAATTTGAATAGCCAACGAAAGCTTTGTGCTTCATATTTGTCACAATTAGGGATTCAGTCAATGCGCTATTTGAAGTAGCTGTTACAGTTTTGCTGACAGCCATTAAAATTGGTCACACAAAGCTTTACAAATCCCCCAAACAGACATTTACTCTGTCACAGCAATGCACAGTTTGACACATATATTCCAGTCCACACTTTGATGATCCCTCCCCATTCCATTATATACAACAGCGCTTTCCCTCGGCACACAACTGCTGCAGTGCTTAGATGATTTTATTACAGTTGGGAGGGCAGATCTCAGGTGTCAAGGCTGTGTTTGTCTATTGCTGGGGAGAAAAGCAAAAGAGCCTGTGAGTGACAGAAGCAGCCTGCCAGGCAGGACGGTGCAGCTCCAACAGCGCAAGAGAATGAATCGCAGAAGCAGCAGGGGCCTCTGACACACGCATCATTTCCACAGGGCATTGACCCATGTCTACATTTAACGGGACAGACTGAGGCAAACGTTCCTCCATATGAATTCCAGATGAAACAGTGCTGGAGTACAGAATGAGGTTTCTAGCTCCCCCCACTGGGCACCGTGGAGGGGAAATTTAGCTATTTCCTTTCATAGGAAAAGCCTATTAGTGTAGCGGTGTGCTGGGACTGTGAGAGGAAAACACTGGAGCGAAGTCAGGCTTTATCCTACCTTTGTGGTTCTGCTCAGGTTGTTTGTCTTAATGCGTGAAAACCCGAGCCATTCTGCAATCGGCGGGGATCATTTTGCTCATGATTTGACAATTTCTTCATACCAGATCAGCTCTAAGCCAAGCCAGAATTGAATTTACAGCCACGATACCTTCGGAAACACACACCGTGTAAGAATTGTAACCGCAGGCAGACAACGCCAACTCTTTTGCAGAGAATTGACTGTTGTGCTCTGTTATAAGTAGCATTTTTCAAGCAAAACCCACCATGCTGGTCTCAGCTGACATGCCCTATTCTGTCCAGTTCATTGAGACTCCCGCACCACTATTTTGATTCATTTTTCTGGTCTGTTTCTGTTTGTTTGAACAGCATATTGGTCATTCAGTTAGGTGGTCTCTTCCTGACTTAGTGAGCTGTTCATAACTAAAATAAACTGCACTGTGGACCAAAATTGTGCCGCAGGTCAAAACTCTGGCTGTGCGAGACCATCCATGGAAAATCTGGATATTTAGTTTTGTCTAGTGGTGCTTTCAAAAAGAAATGCTGAAGCTGTGGTATTTGTCCAGCTGTGAAATTGGAGAAAAGCTTTCTATCAGCCAAACTTGGTGGCTAATATCTCCACACAGAATATTGTTTTCTGGCTATAATTGAGATATTTGACTGATCCATAATAGCTGCTCACTATGCTGCGTGGGAATCAACAGCAGACTGTTGATGTTTCACATTAAGCCTGAACAGCAGAGGATCACGCAAGTCCAGGTGGCCTATAATTTGCCATTACAAGGTATTTTGTGACATGCAAAGTATTTGCTTTGAATAACAGCTGTTATCTGTAAAGGAAATCTAATATCATACTCCACTTGTTCATCAATCAGTAGCCCTTTACCATATGGCACATCATATGGTGCATTAAATAATAAAGCATATATCATCTGATTACATCAGGTATGGTCGTTATAAAAAAATCAATTGCTGCTGAGCTAAGCTTTGTGTTTTATTGCAGTTCAAGCTTTTGCTCAAGCCAGGGATTCAGGCCATATGTTCTGTAGTAACTAGGGATGGGTCATATACAGTGGGTACGGAAAGTATTCAGACCCCCTTAAATGTTCACTCTTTGTTATATTGCAGCCATTTGCTAAAATCATTTAAGTATTTTTTTTTTCCTCATGAAACCACGATGCCTTCTCTCTTCAGGATTATTTGATGAATAGAAAGCTCAAAAGAACAGAATTTATTTCAAATAAAATTTACCAATTTAATGTGTCCCTGCTGAATAAAATGATTTTATCCAGCATAAAAAAAAACTAGTGTATATTTGTAGAAATGTGTAAAATGGTAACTCTATGCAACATTAAAGGTCAAGATTGTAAAAAACAAAACAATAAAAAAATCACCCATATAGTGCAAACCTGCATGCTGCAGAGTTCCCTGTTACCAACACTGGACTCTTCAGTGGGTTTGTGATGGAGTGGCAGAAGACAACCTTGCCTTACCTTATCTAACTGTCAGCCTGGAAAAGATATTGTCTGACAGGCCGAATCGAAAGAGATCACTGAATTGATGAAGGTTCACTGGCACCATAAGAGAGAAAAGTGTGAATCAATTATGCGTGCTTCTCCATGTCATGAGGAGAGAAGGATGACTAGAAAAGAGAAGGAAAAAATTCAGTGTGATCTCTTATTGCAAATGCGGATTGTGGGGCTAGCTTGCAGTAAAGGTCAATTGAGATGCCTAAATCAATACGGCTACACAGAGTCTGACCATCATTAAGTACCCTCCGCTAAGGTTAGATAACATTCTGCATTGTAGAGAGAAATGGACTTGTGGGTGTGAAAGAATCTCTGAATAAGGAAGCTAATCAATTAAATACATTTCATAACGTAGCGGGGGAATAAAACATTGTGCAACAGCCTGCTCAGCTCTCTCAATAAGATGAGAAGAACAGTAAGTGATTATCTGTGAAAGGATCACCACTGCATGCGCATTAGCACCATGTCTGGGACAAGTGACTCACCAAGCACAGGAAGTTCTTATAATGCATCTGTTCACAGCCAGGCTGCTTATTATCCTTTTTAACAAGCAAAACATGGGAAAGGAGTTCATTACACACTGTTTTTTATGTAAAATACCATGGTACAGTAACCGTACAGTGAAACTGATCATTTTGAATTTTGTTTCCCAGGTAACTGAAACAAGGACTGGCCCTCTCGGCTGTAGTAACTATGACAACCTTGATTCTGTCAGTTCTGTGCTGGTTCAGAGTCCCGAGAACAAAGTCCATTTGCAAGGTATAAAATGTTGTTCAAATCTAGTATGCCAAGTTTTGATACTATGATGGGCAGGTTTTTTTTTTTAATGTGAAACACAAAAGGCTCTTTTCCAAAAGCTAGAGAGATCTGCTCGAAGGAGCATTTAAGGCATCATAGTCACGTTCTTGACATGAAGGTTGTTCTGAAAGGTTGGCAGCTTAATTATGTGGCTTCCCAAGATGACTTGTGGAGAAGTGATAACTTCAAATCTAAGATGGCAGATGATTTAAGTGAAATGCAGATTATAAAATGATTCATTCAATACTGAAATGTAAGTTTTGCTTGAGAAAATAAAAGTATGTTTAGTCATTTATATGTATCATCATTTATTTGATTAAAAATATATTAAAAACAGTGATATTGTGAAATATTATTAAATAATTGTTTTCTAATTTAATATATTTTAATTTGTAATGTATTCCTTTGATGGCAAAGCTGAATTTTCAGCAGCCATTACTCTAGTCTTCAGTGTCACATGATGCTTCAGGAATCATTCTAATATGCTGATTGTTTTTATTTTTTATTATATATGTGTATTTGTGTGTGTAAGTGATAATCAACGGCTAGCCGTGCATTAAAGGATTTTAAATGCACGACGTGGAGACAAAGGAATGCAAGAAAGTGCATTTAAAATCCTTTAATGCACGGCTAGCCGTTGATTATCCCGCTTATTCCATGGTCATTTGCCAAGTTATAGACAAGTTAAAACTAGTATTGCTCTTTGCAGCACAATATTTGACCGAATGGGTAAAAATGACAGTTATTTTAGTCAGTTATGGCACGTTAGCACTAGCATTCTGCCCACTTCAAATCATACACAGAGATGAAATAGTGCGGTAAGATCACATTTATTTGAACGAATTATAGCATGTATTTCAATTAATTATCGATCGAGAGAGATAACGGTTGTGTGTACCTGCGTGCTGCATCTGCGCGTCTCTCTCTACAAACAATTACTTCAGAAACAGCCATTTTAACATTGTTGCTGATGAATATAATGTAGCGATCTAGAATCTAGGCTATTTTATTAATAATAATCACGGGGGAAGCATTGACAAAAAGTTTATGTGTATGTGCAGCGCAATCTGCGATCTCTCTCTCTCTCTCCCTCTGTGTGTGTGTGTGTGTGTGTGTGTGTGTGCGAGTGATGTGTGTTGGTTAGTGTGCATCAATTAAAGCAGCGCATTAATATGGAACGGTGATTATACTGACTTGGAAACACCTGTGCATTAAACGGTTGGTAACACTTTAGAATAATGGTCCGTTGTTAACAAGTAACTATGCAGGAAGTAATAGGTAGTACTACATTAACACTTAACTTAATACATCTCCTTAAATTAAGTAATTGAATAAGTTATTTAACATATTTTATATCTAACACATACATTTTTGTGAGGCACTAGTGATATTTTACCAGACACTGTAATCTGGAATATGCGGTTTTGTGCTTAACACAATATAAATGCAGTCGATGCCTTCGTTAAGGATGTGAATTGTTTTTGTCAAGAGAACATCATTATTTATATTCAAGAAAAGTCCTCCCCAGCCTACTGTCACTAAAGGTATAGGTCTTTTGGAGTCGGAGACATACTGAACTGACACAAACTAGAGCTCATGTGAACTAATTCAATCACTTCCTAATTATTAAAATTTTTAAATGAATTATTTGTATTATTATTTTATGCTTTTGTTTGAAATAAACAGAGAACATCCATCCTAAGTAAGAGTAGTAGTCACAAATTGTAGCCGACTTATTTGGGGGATATCATATTCATAAATTAGCTTCCACAAAGAACCTAATTGTTCACTTGTTAACGTTCAAATGACGTTACTGTTGTGATTAGTAATTAATTGGTTATTTTTTATTAATTGGTCATAGTTCACAAGTAGATCTCAATGAGGATATATTTTTTTAGTAATTATCAAATATCTAATAAGGAACTATATTTGTCCTAAATTTGCTACAACTTACTGCTTAGTTAATCTTGCTTCTCTATTAGTTAATAGTATTAAGCTAAGTGTTAATGTAGTACTACCTATTACTTTCTGCGTAGTTACTTGTTAACAACGGACCATTATTCTAAAGTGTTACCAAACAGTTTTACTACATACCCGCCAGCCAATCAGAATCCAATATTCAGACAGATA